CAAAAACAATGCGTTCGAATGCATTTTATATTTGATTTATTTCTTAACTAGCATATATTTCTTAACTACCCAATCACTAAATTTGCCTTATTCAACCGAGGCATTCGCAACGTGCGTCAGCTACGAACACACGAAACAGAATACGGAGCGAGACACGAAGAAAGTTGTGTATGTGCGTATGCGCTCCATTCCTTGCGTCTTATTCGTTATTCCCCCTTTTCAGCTGTTTGCATGGCATAGGCTGCTGAAAAGGGGAATAACGAAGAAGACGCAAAGCACGAAGCGTATATGCAAATGCACTACTTTCTTAGTCTCTAGCTCCGTATTCTGCATTTTCGTGTTTTCGTATCTGACGCACGGTGCAATTTGAGTGCTTTAAATATTAAAATAGAATTTACACCCGTAAGTCTAACTTTTCCGCACTGTTTCCAAATTTCTTCCTTTACCAAAATAAATTTTCATTCCCCAAAAGATACTACTGTGTTCAAAAAGTAAGGTGAAATTGAAAATATTTTGGAATAGCTTTATTAATTCTTCTTAATCAATTTCGTCGCCTTCAAAGTAATCCCCCCCCCCCCCCGGCTATAATACATTTATGCCAACGTTTCCAATCGTCAAAACAGACCAAATAGTCACTTGCCGGTACATCCTTCTAAACCTTCACGTTGAATGCCTTCTATGGACTCGAAAAAAAAATAACATTCTTAACGGTTGAAGCAAATTTCAATACAAATTGAAGGTACCTTCTATACAAAGTATTGTACAAGCCCCACTTTTGGTGATTTCTTCAAATATTGATTGTTTCTCAAAACTAACGTCAGATTCGGTTTTCTCGTACCAAAAAAAAACCCTTTACACATTTCATACTTTGATTTACGTCCCTGGGAAAAGATTTATTTAGTTAACAAATTTTCGCATGCCATACCACCTATGGATACACCGATGAACGAATATCGCTCAAAAACAATACCAGCCTACTCCTTGCAATCCCAGTCGCCCTGTAAAGTCAGATGTGAATTTTCTCTAAGAAGAATTATCGTGCTAACAAAACGGTTAAAAAATAGAGAGTAGAGTAGTACTCTAAGAGTACACTTTCAGGAGGTTGCTGTTGGAATGATTAGTTTTTCATGATCGTTTATTTGGGCTTTAGTTTTCAATATTCGAGTCCAATTCAACAGCATCAAAATCGAACGATTTTCAACGATTTTCGACACTGGATGACCAATGTTAAAAGCAATGGTTAACAATGATGGACCGTGTTAAACCTGTGGCGAATCCTCTGTAAACCATGGTAAATCATGCGTTAAATCATATTTTGACATTTTTACCATGTTAAATGGTTATAGACAACGATGTACCATCATATCCAACCTCAATAACCGTGTTATATGGTGTTAAACCATGATGTACGACCTCAATATATGTGTTATATGGTGTTATACCACGATGGACCGTGATGTCCAACTTTAATAACCATGTTAAATGATGTTAAAATCGCTTAAATCGTCAAAATTTTACATTTCAAACCATTTACCACGGTCCATCATGGTCGGCCATCACGTTTACCACGGCCATTCTCACCTTTTGACAACAAAATGTCAAAAATTTAGGCAAAAGACGGTAAAAATACCATAATGACTGTATTAGACCATGATGGTCGACCGTGATGGTGCCTATGTTCACCGCCGGGCCGAAACCTTTCCAACGGTACCACTTTCATTCGGATCGGTTGAGGCGTTTGGACGCCAACCCCGGATACATACATACCAGAGGTCGCAACGGGGCCCCGACCCGAACGCCCGACCGATTACCGCCCGAGCCCGACCCGAAAAAGGCTCGGGTCGGGTGGGATTCGGGCCAGGTGCTTCGGGTGTTCGGATTTCTCGGATATTTCGGATGTTCGGTATCATGGGCGTCCGAATCCGATCAGCCCGAACTCGAGCGTTTTTTTGGAAAATATTTAGAAAATCTCGCGAAAAACAGAAAAAAATAATGTTAGAACCATTTTTTTCACTTTTTGTATCAGTTAAATCTTCTTAAAGAAAATACGGGGACGTTAAACCCGAAAATTCAATAAATACCGAATGCCCGAGTTCGGGAAATTTCGGGTTTCGGTAAAAAAAATAATTTCGGGTCGGACTCACATCTTCAAGAATATTAAAATGAATTAATTTCATAAATATTGGGACTTAAATTATTGCAATATTGCTTATATTTCAATATTTTCATGATATGAGGGCAAAAAAATTGCTTTTTTGATGTAGAAATGAAAAATAAGAAAAAATCGCAAATTTTCGAAAAAAGTATTTTTATTAAATCGGCATAATATCAAAAGCGCATAAATTTTAGTGGGGGTAGTTTCAAAATTCAGTCGAAGAACTACCTTTCGTTTTAATTTTTCGGGTATAGAAACGACAAAAATCCAAAATATTGTAGTCTTACAGAGGAAAAATTATTAAATTTGTTGACAAAAAAAATATACTTTTAACTTCTATCGAAAACTTGAAAATTTTACACCGTTCGTGAAAAAAATATACCAAATTTTTGTGCAATGTATTTCGGACAATGATTTTGGTGTAATGGTAAACATGACTTGCTATACACTATCAGTGTAAAATATACACCAAGTGTCGACATAGAAGTGTAAACGATACACCAAAAAAGTTGTGAAACGCGTCGTTTTAACGCGTTCAAATGACCACTGAGTGTCCAATATGAAATGAAATCAAAATGAAAAATTTGTTGTTTCAATAAAATATCGTGATATTTTGGATATATAAATCATGATTCATTTATTTTATAAAGATTCAGCTTTTGTTCCTAATTTTTAAGTAGCGATTTACAATTAGCTTAGTAGCAATTAACATTCGGTTTATTTTTATGCACGCTCTTAATTTACTTATGATGAAAAGAACCTCAATTACTTTCTACATACAGATCAGAATAAAATTCGTCTATCATGTGAAATAAATCATTAGAATATTGAACATAAGATAGAAATAGAGAAAAAAATCTATAATAATTTCAATTTTTGTGTTTTTTTTAGATAATCGATCATTCTACTTTTTGATAATTTCCAAGAAACAAAAATTCAATGAAAATGAAATGATAAATTTAGAATAGATTTTTTTTAGAACTTTTGATCTGCTTCCAAATCAACTTAAATAGAAAGAAAGAAATAAATGAAAAAGTAATTTGGCAATTGTTATTTGGCCAAAATGATATTATATTTTCTGTTAACTCTGTACGGCTCATTCATTCTAGCATTTTATAAGTTTTAATGTTTATAAATTTAAAAAAAGAAACATTAAACTGACTGTTTGTTGACCTGCAATAAGCAGAAGGGTAAAACAAAGTGAGCTTCCACTGCAATTTGATGAAAATTTATGAACATTGAAATAACGCTCGTGCGATAACGTTAATATAGTCATTCAATCCAAAGTTCAAAAATTCATATGAAAAATCAGAAATGAAAATTACACAATTGAAGAATTGACTATTCTAATTCTTCGTTATCTTTTTAAGAACTTTTACTAATAAGGGCATATTTTTACTTTTATTTTTAAAATACCTGTGTGCTGAATTTCTATCTACGGTCTGAGGACGAGCTCCGTTCAGAATCTCTTCAAATAAATCAATCATTTGCTTAGTTATAGAATCCATTCGCTCAGCTAAACTAGACAATTGATCTGCTGCTTGTGCAGTATCCAAATTCACGTTCAATGCAATTTCAAAAGCAATTTTAAAAATTTCTTGAATGAAGCCAGTAGAACGTGCTATATTTAGAGGATTCAGTTGAATCGCAGTTGAATGTACTTTTTCGACCAAAGCTCCCAACTCTGTTCCCATTTCTCTTGTGTCAGCTGCTTCTTTAGGCGTCATTCGCTGCTTGAATGAAGCCATATCTTCAGCCAAGTTCTTTAAATCAGTCAATTTGGATTCGAATTCAGAGCAACCATCACCTGACGATCTTGAAAAGGTCGGTATCACGGAGGGACACGATCTGCTTGAGTCTGTACTTAACTTTTCGTCTCCGTCTGAAGTGTTGTCTGTAAATAAAAATATATTATTATATCAGTGAATCATCAAAATTTTGAAGCCATCTACAAGATGCAATTTTCTATATGACCATATTTTGGGGTTTTAAGAAAAATAGCCAAAATCGATTCACCTTCGGTGCCACTAGAAAGAGAAGAAGTGCCAACAGGTGAGCCACGTGAACGCGGCAAGGTACGACATACAGGCAATGGATCGTGTGGAGACTGTGTACGGGGTGGTGTGGCTTCGCCGATGGAATTTCCCTCAGCAAGATTGAATGTGCGATGCAATGATGCGAAATCAGCCGTGGCAGTGAACTGGTTTATGTTCGTCTCTTCGAAATAAAACAATGACATCACAAAATTTTAAAAACAAAATCACAAATAACCGGAGCGTATATAGACCAAGAGACGAAATATTCAGCTCATTGGAAAAACATAATAAAACCTTTCTATTCACCTTCGCTATTACCGCTAACAGCAACATCAGCAACAGCAACAACACCACGATCTGAAGGCAATTGATCGTGTGGAGATTGTCCACGAGTGGCTTCGCCGGCACTCAGTTGCTGAGGGCTATTTGATGTGCGATTCGATGACAACATATCGTCGGCCATGGTAGTGTTTTGTCTCTGTAAAATAAAACAATGTTAAAACAATGACATCACATTGTGATGATCACAAAATCAAAAAATGCGCAAGTAAAGTATATATTTTGAGCCAATTAATAATTTTAATTAGGAAAATAAAAATCTTCGGATAAGATTGAGCAAAAAAGAAAATATATAAACAAATACATTTGAGGTTATGTCAATGTTCACCAAATTATCAAATCGTGGATCATCCATTGTTGTGATTATTATGTGGCAGGTGGCAGATGGACAATTAAAATACAAATTGAAACCTCAAAAGTGGGGCGGAATCTATGAATGAGAAAATAAAATGATAAACATTAATTGTCAGGAAAAAAATTTTGTGATTTTTTTTCATTCATTCCTCTTTTTCACTCGCAATTTTCATGTACCAAAAAATGAACGCATTTTCAATTTTTCAAATGACTTGCACAAAGGCAAACAAATGAACCTTACCTCAATCGATAGCGACAACTAAATGAATACATGAGTTTTTATTTCATAATTAATATTACAAAACAATGAAATCTCATTTCACATCGATTCAAATCACAATTTTTCAACAATCAACTATGTTTTTATGTAATTTTCATTTTTTTGTTCCGAATTTTTTTTTGTTTATCATCGTAAACACTAATGTTTCATTTACCGCAAAACAATCGCACCAAATGGGCGAATTGAACTCACCAGCAAATTTTCAATCAAATTATTTTTCAACGAATCTCTTTTGCGAGATTTCACACTTTTATAACTAAATTCAATTTATTTTTTTTTCGATTGGAATTGAATGATATAATAAAGCGATTCATTAAGAAATAAATCAAATATAAAATGCATTCGAACGCATTGTTTTTG